AAAGGAAATTCACCCAGTGCTGTAAAATTTGTTGATCCAAAGGTTCCTAATAGCTGAAAAGCAGTTAACAAGTAATTTCCAAAAGTGATTAGAAAAGGAAGTATGTGAACTTTGTGTCCTTTCAAAGGCACTGACTATGGTTTGAGCAAGATGGCTATCCCCTCATCTCCCAGAGCTGTAAACCCACTGGAGACCACTGTCTTGCAATCTCCTCATGAGGAGCAAATGTCTAGACCACCTGTGGGCAATCTCAAGACCTCTCCTTCTCCAGAAAGGAATTATTGAAGAGCCGGTCTACTTGGCAGTTCTTCATTTCACTGTGGTTGTCAGCTCTGCTTTTTGTGGAGCCATCTTCAGTCCCCCATTTCTTCCCTGGAAGTTGGCTTTGAACTTTGAATGCAACACAAATAACACTTTTCATTTACAAAGATAAGGATAATGGAAAGAAATATATATATATATATATATTAATAAGTTATAAGTCAGGAGTTTTGATTTAGATTTGGACACGGTGGTGGAAAAGAAGACACAATATTTATCACATTCAGATCTGTATGTTCTCTACCAGCCCAGTGATGTTCTTTTTTTCTCCATAGAAATAAAGCTAATGCCTTGTTTATTTGTTGATTTGTTTTATAAGCCGACCAATTCAGAATGAATTTGGGCAGCTTACAATGTTAGAAACATTAGGGAAAAAAACCTCAATTATCAAAAGATAAGTCATATGGAAGATTTAGCACATCACATGTGATAAAAATATGGCTGAGGACATCACCATCAATTAGCCCAAGGCCTATGAGAAAAACCAAGTTTTAAGAACTTTTTAAAACTAAAGTCAGGGTGGGGCCATATGAATCTTAGAGGGAATGTTATTCCAAAATCTAGTTTGGCCCTCAAGCTGGAACTGTAATAATATCTAAGTACATAAGGGCTACAACCACATACAGAAACTTAACAGATTGTACACAGAAAACCACATTAGGACAGAACATTTGAGACTACCATACATTCTTTTTCAATGAATTACAGTCTGGGTGAAGAATACTTACACTGAGTGCTAGAAAAATCTGTGCTTTACTGCTAATAATAAATTATAGGTGTTGAATGAAATATAGATGTTATAACTGTAGCTGGATTTATATGTCCAAAGTATTTTACAACTGGAAGATTACACATTTATCATAAAAAGAGTATAGATTTTTTTTCAAAGAGTTGTATATGTTTTATTTCTGTATTTATATTTTATATTTGTATATTTATACAATATATAAAATTAGATATATTTTATTTCTCCTTTCAGACATCAACATACCAACAACATTTGTATTTCAAGGTTAAATAATGCAATTAGAGCATTTATTTTTCTCTACAGTATATTTTCTCTTTAGGGTCAATCATAAGGATGAAAAATCTTTTTCAAGGACCAGAGATTACATCTACTAGATCTGGGCTGCAAACACCCAGATGACCATTAGATGGCAGAAAGAAAGAAAAAATCTGTATCTTCCTCCTAAAATCTGGGGTTTTCTGGCTTCTTTTCTTTTCTTTTCTTTTCTTTTCTTTTCTTTTCTTTTCTTTTCTTTTCTTGCTCAGATTTAGAAGTTCTACCACATGCTGGCTGTAGGGAAAGTTCTGATGGACAGAAGGCTGGACCTGAGTTGCCCAATTTTCTCTCCCTGTCTCCCACAGAATCTCTTTGACTTATTGCCTCTCACTCAGACACACACTTCCTTCTTTGAATAATAGGTTTATTTGCACCATATGAAAGAGGGTGATTTTTTTTTTTTACCAGAGAAGAGTGGAGGGAGGAACATTTTAGATACCTTCCCTCCACAGATTGTCCCCCTTTTTTTAGGGAAAAAAATACAGAACATACCACTTCTGTTTCAGCGGAATATGTCTATTGTCAGTCATCTCCTGCAGACTACCCTGGAACCAATTAACCAGGCCTAGAAGAATCCAGGAACTTCTGGTAAGGTATTTTATTGTAGAAAAGCTAAAAAGCCATTTGATGCATTATTGCCATGATTCAAAGGCAATTCCCAGTTACAGTGATTAGTTCAAAGTCTTGTGTCTCTTTCTCCCACCTGAGTTATGCAATGGACTTGGTGGCCCTCCCTACTGAATGGACCATCAATTACATTGTTTGGAGCAGAGCAGAACAGGGCAGAGCATAAAGATCTCTAGATGATTTTGTCAAGAAGTAAAGAAAAAGAGCTAGAAGTTTGTGCTGGTGAACTTCGTTGTTTGGCAATACAGCTGAGTTTGAAAACTCCTCACTGGATTTACTGAGTTTTAAAGAAAAAGATCTGGGCATATTAAACTGAGAATATAGATGCTACAGGAATTATGGGGAATCCTTGGAGTAAAGGTGTCCTCATGAAGCAGCATTAACTGTTGGAGAAGCTAATGGTCAATGGAAGAAACGGCTAGCTTTCTGCAGTGTCTCTGCTGAGGAATTAAGTCAAAAGCTGCCCAAAAGTTCATAAAGGTGGCTTGAAGAGAACCTCTTGGGGATCTTGAACATTTCTTGGCCAGATAGTATAAGGCTGTATACTAATCTGGTCTGAAACCTGCAAAGAATTTTAAAGATCAATATTCAACTGAAACTAGAACTTTTCTTGCTGGGATTAATGGACAGTCAATTAGAAAAGACCCACGGAAGATTATTCTTGTATATGAATACTGCTGCAAGACTATTATATGCATAAAAATGGAAAGATTCTGAAATGCTCACAACGGAGGAATGGGTTGGTGAAGATGTCAGAACGAGCAGAGATGGCAAAATTAACCTCTCTGATTAAAGAAAGATCAATGACTACATTTATCAGTGACTGGAAACCCCTTATGGACTTTCTGCTGAAAAAAAGAGAAAAATGAATTTGTGATTTATGAGTTTGAAGGTTAGAAATGGTAGCTTATGGAAAGAAGGAAATTATTATATTATATATGTATATGTATATAATTATTAAATTATACTGTCCCTTAGAGAGGGAAAGTAAAATATAAATGCATTTATAACCACTGTCAAAAAGATCAGAAGCTGCTTCTTTATAAACTTT